GTCATATCAATTAAAAGCAGTCTGCTGATCCTACAAACAGCAAAGGAAAGCCGCAAAGCCTTCACCTATCGCCTGTGCGACTTACTTGTCTATCTAAACCTGTATGTATGGAGGATATGTTCTTATTATGAGTTTGCCCGTGAACGCAAATTTATCCGATACTGTTTAAACCAAAATCCACCACTAAATCTTCTTTTAAAAGCTACAATTAAAAGCACTCCGCTGAACCTACAAACAGCAAAGGAAACCAGCAAAGGAACTCCCAGAGTGCATTTCGCTTCCACAGGGGGGATAAATTGTGCGCGACATAAGCGCACGGACATAAGACTTGTCTTGACGGTAAATGATGGACCAAAACCACCAGCTTGGTCAACATTAAATCGTTTTCGATCTTTTGCAACATTAATACGAGCTCCCATCCTTGCCACTACTGGCTATTTCACATCGGAGACCTTTCAGTGCTTTGTGTTCCATTGCTATCGGCATTTTATACTTTCAGTTTACACAATGAGATTTTGCGGTTACCCGTGACCTCAAAGAAGGAAATCCCCAGGAACTGGTCCCCTGAGTTAATCACTATCCCTTTTAGCATAATGAATGTGGAAAAAATCCCAACCACTAAGGAAAATGGAATAAAAATACGCACTAATAGAAAGCAGTCCACAATCAATTAATCAATTCCGAATAAATTTTAAGGAATTTGTCCCTCGTCTTTCAATCCGAACGTTTTAAAACCGAAAGCATTTAGCGCTTGCTTAGTCTCTAAACATACTAAAAACTTCAAGAAATTGAGTTGAACAAACGTTTTTTAGAGTGATTTTATGCCCCCCTTAACAGAGGTGGTTGTTATAGAGAAGTGGTTATATATAAAAGGGAGGTAGCCGTTATAAAAACGGTCGTTGACAGATAGGTAGTAGTTATAAAGGTGGCCGTTGCTGATGCAAAGAAATCACAACCAAACAATCACAGCAGCACTTATATTACAAAAATTTTATAAATCGAGATGCAAGTTATTCGTACATGTTGTTATGTGATATCCGGACCCAGACCGTTCAATGTGGAGTAAACCTTGCTAACTCCACACCAACCACGACTCAGTAATCTGTCACATCGGATAAATCTTTCTTTCTTTCTTTTTTTTTTTGAAGACTTCTCTCTTGTTTGTGGTAAGCTACGAGTCTGTACGGTTGCAGAGATTTTTTGACATTGTTTATCCAGCTCCTATGCTGCCAAGCCTGGCAGAAGCGCGGGAAAGTCGAACACTTGCCACTGGGTACCGTATGTTGTCTTTAGAAAAGTTCGTTAACTTCCTCTCACAAAGCAACAAAAGCTGTGAACAATAACAATCCCATACGTGCTAATGCGTTCACTTAACGCGCTTTTACGCGAATTCAAAACGCACTCTAAACCTCCTAGGCCCAGTTCAGACGCCGAACTCTTCATGAGCCGATCCTAATACGTTGAATTAAGTACATGAAAAGTTCGGCGTCTGAATCAGTTAAGAACGGCTATTTGAATTTGGAACGCCTCAGCCGTTCTTCCCGCCTAGTTCAGCCGGGAATTTCGGCTTTGGAACGGCTTTGATACAGACGTCGAATTTTTTATGTGCCGAACCTAATGCATACACCTTACCTAAAAACCGCTGACCTTTTAAGTTCGGTGAATTAAGTTGGACGTCTGAATTAACAGGCGTACTTTTGATAATTTGGGTCGGTCCAAATTCGAATTAAGTTCGGCTCATGAAAAGTTTGGAGTCTGAACTGGGCATTAACTAAAGATTCACCATAACCATTACCTTAATGCACTATTATTGACGCGAATTTTGGTTGGCTCATCTATGAGCCGTATGGTATACACAAAACACGAAAACGCGAGCAAAGTTGCATCCTTTACCCATCCAAGATTGTAATAAACACTTGTCTCCTACTGAAACCATCGTAAATGCTTCGAATGCTATTAAATAGCACATTGACGTCAACAGAAAATAGAATGTTCTACTAAGATATGCCAAATTTGCTTCCTTCCACAGATCTGTCGAATTGATCATTTTAATTTCTTCCTGGTCAATAATATCTCCTTGTTCTTTAACTACAACTTCGTAGTTTGATCCCCCAAAGATTCACGTCGATCGACAATATCCAAACCTACTCACAACAACTGAAAATGGGCAACCGGATGGTTGCGGCAAGAGCTGACTCTCCCTTCTATTTGTCTGCGGATCGTTTTCTCGTGCCACCAACGATGAGAGCCTCGCAGGCTGAAAAAGTCGAGGAAGCCTGGTAAAAAGCGTGTACTGGCCTGGCCGCCTGTGAGATTCCCCTAGGTCAGCGGCGATACAAAATGGCTGCCGTCGCTTCCGTGTAGAAGCCCATTATGGTTGTTTGTCAGTTTTTTTTGAAAGGTAACTGTCGGTTTGGAGATAGGTGCCGCGATGAGCATCCCACGGGTTAGTTTCTTTATGTGTATGAATGGCTAAAAAGCCAGCACAATGAAATGTCATCAAGCTTACCTGTAGATATCGGTTTCACTTTGTGTTGTCTTTGCGCGTTTTAGAATCGCATAAAGACCATAAAGCTAATTTACAAATAGGTGGAAAATGTCTTTTTATTTGAATTTGTGATTACTTGTGGCTAGATCTCATTTCGGGTCAATGAAAAACGCAGACTGCAGACTGCAGTAGGGGAGTAAAATTAAGACTGTAGACTTTTTAACTTAATCGTGCTACCATTTCCAATTGGGAGATAACCGCAAACAGGCAGGTATCAGGTCGTTTCGCCCGATGACCCATTCGCTCGAAGACGTTTCGCCCGATTTCTGAGTCGATTCGCCCGAAGAAAAAGTCGATTTGCCCGGACCAAGAGTCGATTCGCCCGGACTAAGAGTCGATTCGCCCGGACTAATAAAATCCAGGTTAATCAAGTATGTTTTGTTGGCTTAACTTAATCAAACATATAGCATTTAACGTTTCCTAATCTTTGGCGCTGCCAGTAAATTGTTA